CAAATTTATGCAAGTTCACCTTAATCACCAGGGGAAACATTATCCGAAACCGAATATTAATTTCTGCTTTTATATAAAGAACTGACATTAATTGTGTGTTTTTCTTTTAATACTAAGATAGGAAAAAAAAGACATATCATCTCTTGAAATTTGAACATTTCCTGTCTTGTTGAGTAATAGATGTCATTTTACGTAACAAGAAAAAAATATATTTGTTGTAGTAGTGAAGTGTGAACAACTTACAAATTTTAATTTACTTTTGTGAAAATTCCCTAACTGAAAAGCATGTAGTTAAAATATGATACGTTTTATCCTGTAATGTTATTAACATTTGCATCATTAATCTGTTGAACAAATACAGGTTCCAGGTAAATATGAAGGGATCATTCACGTGATTGAAAATTGTTTTATTTTCCAAATATGACTGTTTTCGGCAATTCTCTCTTAAGCCCCCTTTACACTGGACGGCGTCCTTTCTGCGTCCCGTAGTATCGCCCCGTTTGAGAGTAAAAAATAATACTTTACGTGCGTTCATTTTACATGTACAACCAAAGCGATGCTTGTGCCTCCTTTCTACATGTACGACCACAGCGATGCCATGCAGCTTCATGGTCGCACAAAGGACTCACAAAGGACGCCGTCCAGTGTAAATGGGGTTTTACAAGACTCTTTCATTCTATCGACCAGATGATGGAGAAATAATGGATATTTTTTTTGCATTTAGAAATCTTTATTCCTAGAAGGTTGCAAAACGTGTTGCAAGATTTTTCAAATTGAAAATGGATGTAGGAAATATGAGAAATATCGTAATCTGTCCCTCGGATTGTTACCCGGTTTTCATAAGTGTACATGTTGTTTATATTTTAAATAATTTTTGTAATGGAATTTATTCTATTTTCATAATCCAATGTAATGTTTATTATTCATTCAGTTTTGTCAAAAGCGGGCTTAATACTGTGAACGTTTGTACGTAAGATTTTTGACACGTAAAACACAACAAAGATCTGTACGTTTTTGCTTCCAAGCTGTATGTATAGTGCTTTTGAAAACGTTTAATTTTCAAAAGAGCAATTAATAAAAACTGTATAATATTTCATAGCTATATAGAGAAATACAATGGCGGATCCAAGCTTATAAAGGGGTCAAATGTTGAAATTTTGGGCAAACTGTAGTATTTTTGGGACTTGATCATGTAAGTCCTTGAGGGAGGGGGTGGGGGTTAGATCCACCATTGTTTTTTTTTTTGAATGAATGAAGATGTTGAAAAAATTGTTTTGTTTCATTTAGACCAAACATTAGACCAGAAAAGCAGTAGTTTCTTTTTTAAGTCGAATAGACAAGAATGCTGTTTGCTACACCTTTGAATGAGTCTTTATGCGGCTATCAATGATTTTCTTTTACATCCTTGAACCTTTTCAACTTAATGGTAATAAAAAGACTGAAGACAAAGTTTTACAGGTATATGTTTTATAAATAAATGAATACATAAAATCAATTGATTATGTTCTTAATAAAAAACTTATTGAATATACAAAATGTCTTAGTATTTTTACTGACGGTTACATGGCTCGGTGGTAGCCTGGAGTTGGGGTTCGATTCCTGGCTCGGGCACTTTGGAATTAAAAAGGGTTGCTATTAGAATTTTCCTTTGGTTACTATAAGAAGAAAGTCTACCCGGGGAGGGTGGGTGGGAACACTTAGAGGAGTAGGTAACGCGCTTGCCTCTGAGACAGAAGGTCCCCAGTTCGATTCCTGGCGCTACTAGGTCCCAGCAAATTACCTTTTGCAAAAATAAACCCAAAATAAACATTAAACTAAAACAAGAGGATCATGCTAATGTGTAAAAAACGAGTAGAGACAGTGGCTCAATAGGTAAGGCGATAGACTAGGAAGCAAAAGAATCATACCGTAACCAAAGGTACGAGTCGAGCTGAAGAAAAGAAAGTTAAGAGAAAATGAGAGGACATTTTTAAACTATCTATTTCAACTTTTGTTATTATATTATTATTTGAACGTTTATATACAAGCAATTGCATCTTATAGATGTATGCAAAATCCGAACATTACGTTTTGGCTCTACATAAAAACAATTTTCATAACTACTTAGCATTTCGATATATAAATCAGGCTTATATACAACTATCCAAGCTCAATGTGTGGGAAGGTCTAAGCATTTTGAAAATAATCGCTCAACATCAGTCGCTTTGGTTTTAAAGTGTTTTAGAACACAGCGCACAACATGAAAATCTCAGGTTTTTGCCAGAGTTAAAAAAGAAAGTTGAAGATTTGACGTGATATATTTTACAACTACCGTCCAAAGTTGACATTGGTGTATTTGTCATTTGGTTGATCCAAAATTTCACCAAAAGACATTTTTATCCAAATTCATGGGTGGTAACAGTATAGAAAATTCAAAATGCATATAATCTCATGTTATAAGCGTTCCCCCCGCACGCGGTTACACTCTATGTCGCCATGCTGTTAATCACACAAAACACTAAACATTATTCAATTCTGTTAATTTAATGAGTGCTTTTCTCAAAGATAAATAAATAAATATATACCTCATATATTTTGGTCATTTTTTCTTCTCTTTAAATCTTAAAATAGGATTTAGGTGGCACAATTTTGAGTGAACACTTAAATTTACGCGTTGTGCTAATCAAGAACAGCATGAAGACATGGCCAGTTAACAACATTATCCCAGTCATGATCTTTTTATAAGAATAATATGTAAACAAAATTGAAAAAGTCATGCAAAAACCAATTCACTTAAAATAACTGAGCACATCTACCAAAAACGCTCATGAACTCAACTCTAATATCTGGTGTTCAGTGATCAAGAAACACACAGCCAAAATAACCCAACAGCCCGTGCAGGACTGGCACCTAATCAGGCCTTTTGTTCTCAAACACAACTTGATCCCGACCGAAATATAGAATTAAGAAAGTATTAAGTACAAGATCAACATTAAAAAACACTGACCTTTGCAATTGTTTTGTAAAAAATTAGTCTAACCAATCAAAATGTCTTCTATCTGACAGAATGTTGATTTTTCATATTTGATTAGACTAAGAAAATACCACAAAATTAAAAGGATTCTCAGACAATAAGTCAGTAAAAAATCGCTCTTTTCGTATTATTTCAATAAAGATCCAATTTCGTCATCTTTAGACGATTGACAAACGTTGACGGTCCACAAAAGTTCGTTCAATTACTAGGGAATACCCGTTTCCACCCAAAACAGAGCTTTGCGATAACTGTAGTTATCGAAACGTATTTGATAAAGCTTTTTCAAATTTTCAAGTTGTAAAAGGATGCGATAAATGCCAGTCCTACATATACAATTAAATTGACAAAAGAAGACAAAAGGAAACACATTCTTCAATACACTTTTTCTCTTTGTGACATTTAACATTTCCACATTGCAAGAAGGCAAAAATCACTCTTTTTTTAAAAATAAAATAGTATATCAAACCATCGGGAACCAAAGGAAGTTTATTTTTACCATGCTTCATAACCGCATATTCACAAGTTTAAAAAGACCCGTTTTAATACGTACGTGTGGGCAATTGTGCAATAAGTTGGGCACATTTCACAATTTCACACTACCGTTAATTCTTAAGTGTCATAATTTGGATTATAGCGTTACAGTTTATTGTAAATTTATATCTCGTTCCTATTTCTTCCAGATTCCTGTATGCATTTTACGTAATGGAGTCGCGAAGTTTTTTTTCTTTTCTAACTTTAATAAAATCAATATTTGTCTCCAATTTAATATAAATAATCCTTGTGCATAACAATGCGTCTTATTACATATTTCCCACACACAATTTTACAATCAAATCGGTCATATTAGCACAGTGCTCTACCTGAACATCACTTAATGATAATTTTACAACAATTGATTTTATGTTCATGATTTTATGTTCATAGATCACTTAAGCAAGGAACTTTTTTGTTTTAGTATAACTTCAAAAGTGTCATTTCAGGTTCGATAACTGGTGGGTATGAAAAATATATATAAACTACAATAAAAACGTGCGGATAGCAGGGGCGGATCCAGAGTTATTTTCTGACAGTCTTCCAAATTATCTTTGTTGATCCATCCCCCATTTTTGACCGTCTTCCGACAGAAAAAATTAGATACCCGTCAATGTAAACTTGAAAATCTGACCGTCTTCCGGAAGACCCAGAAGACGCCCTAAATCCGCCCCTGGATAGAGCACTGTGCTACAACTTATTTACACATGTATAATAATATACCAGCGACGTGCAGGGTTGACGCTTTGATTTGATCCATTTTATCAGAAGTTCCATGAATAAAACACTCGTTACACGCTGCATTTCTTTTTATACACGGGTTGATGCAGAATATTACAAACCAAAGCAAATATTACATTTCAAACCGAATCAAATGTCAACCCTGCAAGTTGACTATGAGACAAACTTCGACACGTAAGACAACGTTGACATGGGTGCGGGCGCTGGTGAACACGAATCTGATGTCTTTGCTGGGAGTGCGTCCAATTTCATCGTAGACGGTTGTTACGAGCTTCTGAAAATAAATAAAAAAATGATATATATTAAACAAAATTCACATGCGAGAAGCAATGAAACAATATCAAAGGATTTGATAAAGTGAAATATAATCTTTATACCGATCCATTTCGGTATGCATTAACTGCTATAAATATCATATTATAGAAATATATATATACTCGGCATATTGCACCTACAGGTTCTATACAATGACACACTTTACAACGACATCACTGCATGCCCTGTACACACTGTTACACGTCAACATAATAATCTTTAAATGTATCTATCTTTGCAAAGCCATATCCCTCCACGAGAAGTATCTTGATGGAGACTGCATATTTGACTACGCAAATCATTTTACCATAAAACAGAAAACGAACTGTCACAAAAGATACCAGTGTTTGGACTTCTATATATTTGCAATAAATGTAAGCATTTGACAAGTTACCTGCCCAGTTGTCTTTCTTTGTTTTAGCCCGAATAACCCAACCAGACTGCGGACAGCTGGAATGATATTTCTTATTTATTGGCAAAAGTGTTCCCTCTGGAAAAATAACAGAAAATAAACATTTTCTTCAAGCTCACTTTGGGCATCTTAGAGAAAGTGACGTTCACGTCAGTTACATGTCCCCATGGTCAGTACGACTTCAATATAAACTGTAGCTTACAGTTTTGGGGAAATATTGTCAATATATAAAAGAAGGAATGTCAATGAAATCATCAAACTGAAGTCAAGGGAGGTCGACAGTACCAAGTAAAGTAAGTTTTCTTTCCTGGCCGCGACTAGTTCTCTAGAAAACCATTTGTTTGTTGTCAGTTAACTTTAATTAACAGGATATATTTGTACAAGCCGCTATCGTAAGAAAAAAATGTACCGGCTGTTACCTGCTTTGTCTTCATGCTTTGTTCAAGTCGGAATAACGCTTTAAGACCTTTGGACGCTGGGATAATCTTCTCACTTCTTTGTGAGCAAATAATTTCCTTCTGGAAAAGTAACAGGAAAAACTATTAAAATTTCAAGCTCATTTTGACATTCGTGTCAATAAATATACAGAAGAGCCCCTACCCCTGAAATGGGAAATGCATACTTTTTTTTGATAAAACATTGTCAACATAAAACGACCAGTGTTGTCTTATATCATCTATACAGTACTTACAACAAACTACATCAGTTCTCAGTGCCAAAATTTCAGTCTAAGAGTGGATATTGTGGCGATGTGGCATATGAAACTTCTTCCTCTTCCTACTGACCTTGGTCCTATCTGAATACTTCTCACAAAAATGCTCACCTGGTTTACGTAATAATATCACTGTCGCGGGATTGTGTTAGAGAAGACAAGATGCGATTTTCTCCAGTCTAAAACGTTCCCTAGTTACTGTACAAACAAGCCTCTTGTCTATAGATCTTCATGCCAAAGGAATGAAGTCGTCATCATTATCATTATTATTTAGGGGCGTATCCAGGATTATTTGAAAGGGGGGGGGAGTTAGGAACGACAGGCCTGGGATGCGAATCCGACCCTCGCCCCCTCCTCTATCCCCCTTGACGTGGGGTTCGGGGCCCGCTGAAGGGCACCGAAAAAATTTGGTATTTTAGAGGGCGAACGGTGCCATTTTCTGCGGTCTAGAACTATGATTTAGCTAGTCAAAATTCTAATATCAAAAGAGGAGTATTAGTGTGATTTATTTCTCAGAAACCGAAGGGGGGGGGGGGGGGGGGAAAACCCCCCTGAACCCCCCTTAAACCCCCCCCGGCTAGA